GCTTGTGTTGGTGGTAAACTTGATTGCGTTATCTGTTCCCTATCAAAACATGTTAAGGCCAATTATATTCCTCGCATGCACCATCGGGCTTTTGTGGTGAGGGGGAGTATGCTGGAAAGGTATGTCGACTGCGTAAGTCTCTTTATGGACTGAAACAGTCGCCACGAGCCTGGTTCTCTCGCTTCAGTGATGTAGTCATACGATTGGGGTTCACCAGGTGTCATTCTGATCATACCTGCTTTATTCAACGGAATACTTCTGGACAGTGTGTCATCCTTCTGGTATATGTTGATGATATTATTATTACTGGTGATGATGTTTTTGGGACTGCGCATGTCAAGATAGACCTTGGGAAGACCTTCGATGTGAAGGATCTTGGATTTCTGCGATACTTTCTTGGGATTGAGGTTGCCCGTAGAAGCAGAGGTATTGTTCTTTCTCAGAGAAAGTATGTTTTAGATCTTCTTTCAGACACTGGGATGTTGGGGTGCAAACCGGCATTATCACCTATGATTCCAAACCTGAAGCTTACTGCTGAAGGTGAGGAGTTGAAAGATCCGACAGTTTATCAAAGATTGGTAGGTAGACTTATCTACTTAGCCAATACTAGGCCGGACATTTCATTTGCAGTCAGCCGAGTTAGTCAGTTCATGCATAGGCCATGTCAGCCTCATCTTGATGCAGTTTATCATATTCTTCGGTACCTCAAGTCTTGTCCTGGACTTGGGTTGTTTTATGCATCAGGATCTCAGACCGGTTCTCTAGCCTGTTATTCAGATTCAGATTATAGGGGAGCATGTGATGGTCGATCTACTACGGGTTTCTGTGCTTTTCGAGGGACTCATCTTATCTCTTGGAAGAGCAAGAAGCAGGCAGTTGTCTCCCGCTCGTCCGCAGAGGCAGAGTATCGGGCATTGGCACTTGGCACATGTGAGATTATCTGGCTACGATCGATTCTTGACGAGTTGGGTTTTTCAGTGACCTCTCCATCCACATTATATTGTGATAATCAATCTGCTATTCATCTCGCTTCTGACTCTGTACTACATGAGAGAACGAAGCATATAAAGATCGATGTTCACTTTCTTCGGCAGAAGGTTAGCAGTGGTCTTGTTACTCCATCGTTTGTGGGGACCAGTGATCAAGTTGCGGATGTTTTTACCAAACCTGCCACTCTGTCTATTCTTCGGGACTCCGTTGTCAAGCTTGACTTAGTTGACATTTTTGCGCCTAGCTTGAGGGGGAGTGTTGGAGTATAGATAGTCTAGGTTTATTAGGATTTCTTTTCCCTTTTTTACCCTTACTATGATTTTTATATTTTGCCTAAACTACAAGGATGTTTAAGTCACTCTGTATTATTTTTGGATATATATACGGGGTTCTACTCTTAATTTGAGTATCTCCTTTTACTCACAATTATTTCAAGTATTGATAAGACCACAAACCATTTAATCCAAAATCACTGCATGTACATAATAAGTAAAACCGATAAAAAAAAGGATAGGATCCATATATCTCAATAAATTGATTCCATCAATAAAATCCTAAATTAAACATTTTAAAACATTAACGAACACTGCCAAGCAACAACGAATAACAATAACACAAAGATATAGATGAACACATTATATGAAAAATTGAAGTAGGCAGAAAACAATGGGAACTATGTTGTAGTGAGCTCAAAATACATAATAGTATAATTGAAAAAAATCAGAATTAAGGAGAGGGCGAAGAAACCGGGGGAACAAAGTTTAACTTGTTTTTGAGTTCGACGATTATGGGATTATTGCAAGTGAATTGGAGGCAAACATCATCCTCTATAGTCTCATAGTGGTTGGTTGAAATCAAAGGCAAATAAGTTGAGAAGAGAAGGGCGAGGGAGAAGTAGGAGATGAAGGGTGTGAGTTCAGGTGATGGAAGAAATAGGGACTAACGACTGAAAAATTTGGGGAGAGAGAAAGACAGAGTTAACAGGTGAGAAGTAATTAGAGTCTGTAGTATTAATTACGAGGGATAAGGATAATATAATTGTGATTTTGTTTTTCGAGTATTAAGACATTTTAAAGTGATATAGATAGAGTCATAGACTACATCACATATACGTGTGGCATTGAAAAAAAATACCTAGGATAACAAATTAGGTTAATTTGAGTTTTAATGTTTGACAGGGTCCACAATCAATCCAATAATTTGATTAAATTAGGTTAACAAATTAGATTAATAAATTAGGTATAAATAATATTGCTCTCAAATCATTCGTTATAACAAGGATTTTTCACCACTAAATCATTTCCTACTAGAAAATTAGTGACGAATTTATGATAAAGGTGTATTTATGATGAACTCATTTAAATGCACTGGTTCTCACTTGGATTTATGGTAACAGATTTAGCATTGACAAAACAATTTCCAAAAATATGTTAAAGAGGATCAAATTGGTGCAATTGTAATTACAACATTTATGGTTTGTCTGTTCAAAAAGAAAATAAAAATATATATACATCTAAAATCATTTGGGGTTGGACACCTTAGATAACTGAGTTGGTCATGGATTTAAGATGATATATTATTTGATGTACCAACAAAATGTTTGATTACTTTGTAGATTAGGGTGTTTACTCTATCTGGTTTTACTCTTCCTATCCTTTTATCAAAAATTTGATTTTTATCTTCATCTAACTCAATCGCATACTTGATGCTACTTCTTTGTTCTTGACTATGGTAGTTATCCCACCAGTTTTTTTTAACATACTTGTGAATCCAGAAGTTACTAGATCAACTATTTCTAGTTTAGTACAATCAAGGTTGTTAATATAACTATTGATAACCATAGAAATACGATTTACTTTGTTCAATATTTCTTGTTCACTTAATTCATCTATGTTCCACTTATAAAGTTTGTTGGATTGAACTAACAACTGATTACTGATGTTTCTTTTTTCATATCGAAGATTAGAAGGTGTTAGTCTAGTATACCAACTCTTGGTAATACTAGTAGGATTAATTTTTGAAAATATTAATTTGTTAAGATTTTGATTATCAAACTATACTTCTAACTTTATGATTTCCGAATAGATACTTCAAAATTCAAAATACAATTAACTGAAAATTAACTTACAAATAGACAACTGCAAAAAAGTTCTTCTTTTACATCATAAGAAAACTATGATACAATAAAAAAACTTGGAGATATGAGAGGAGAGAACTTTGTGTTGGCAATTTTTGCCTCCCTTTTCTAAGAATGACTCAAATCCTTATATAGACGTAAGAATTTTTTTGAGAGAATCTTTGGTAGGATTTTCTTTTTGTCTGATGATTGTTTTTTGGAGTTATTTTTGCAGGCTTTTGGCAGGGAATCTTACTATTGCTAATTAGCTGCAGGCTTTTGGCAAAAATTTTACTGTTTCTGACAGTCTGTAGACTGTTGGCAGAAATTTCACTGTTGTTGATTAGTTGCAGGCTTTTAGCAGAAATTTTACTGTTGTTGACTGTCTGCAAACTTTTGACAGGAATCTCACAATAGGCAGAAATCTTACTTTTGCTGACTGACTACATACTAAAAGAACATTTTTTTCTTTCCTTTTGAAAAAGTAGTGATTGAAGTCCTTTGTACACAAAAGTAACTTGTGGATGTTCTCTAGGTTGGGATAGATCATATGCATCATCCGGGTCTTGGGCATCTTCAAACGGATCTTGTGGGTGGCTGACTGAGGCTTCTGATGAGTGGGATGCACACTCATCTTCTTCTTGGCTAGCTTGATGGAGTAACTGTTGGGCTAACTTAATTAACTGAGATTTCTTTGGTTGGGACTTATTGGAAGTCTTGGGTGAAGCCTTGGATTGTTTTATTGGGAGTGCTGAAACCTTTGGAGTAGAGACCCGGAGTGTTGGAGCTGTTGGCTTTATCACTGGTGGTGGTGTACTAGTAGTTGTTCTTGGTGTCCCTGTAACTGTGATTGGAATATGAACTTTTACTAAGAACTTTGTTTTAACTTGGTTAATGATATGTTGATGGTCAAACTTCGTCCACTATTTGACATAAAACTGGCGAGTAACTGCATTAGCAGTAATAGAGTACTACCATTTAAGAATTCACAAAACCTTGTATTTACTCATGAAGAGGAGTAATGTAGGCAACTATGAATTATGTTGACTAATTTTAAAACAGGAAGAGAAGTAAGTTACTTAATCTTGAAGATCAACTGGAAGGATTACAATCATGGGGCTATGCATTTGCCACCACCGTAAAAACTAAGGTATGCATTGACTAGGTCAAATGAGTTGGTTAAATGGGCATAGAGCGGTTCGATAATGAACAAGTTGTGTACTGTTGGTTTTGGAATGTTCTCAGTCTTGTAGGTTTCGGGTTGATTGGGTTAGTCTTACTAGGTATAGGTTTTTTAACTAGGATGGCCTGACCGAGGATATAGGTTGGGCTAGATATGGGTTTGTTAAGGCCTGTTTACTAGTATTTGGGTTTACCAGGATGAAAACAAACGATGAGTTGACTATATTACCAAGAATATGATAACAATTTACTAAATCCAAAGGTGATAGGTGACTAGGTTTTGAATTGAACTAGGCATGGAAAGTAACCTAATAAATAAACAGTTATTGACAATTAGTAGAATAAATGGATCTTTCATAATTAATTCTGATAGGTTACATGAAGAATTCAAGTGCAAAAAAAATAAATCCAAAAGACAAGAATTCAGAAGTAAATACAGTAACCATAAGCAAGAAAAAATATTTAGAAAATGGACTAAGTTTATGAATGAAATAAGACGTGAAATTTATTTTTTTGATTACATAAAAAATCATTACAAATCAATAAAAATAGTAACAAAACATAAATGGAAGAAATAAAATTCTTCCATAGTGCCTTCAAGTCAGCATCCAACAGAAACCATATATATGTATATCTGAAACGCGCTTCTTCATTTTAACGTGCCTTCCTATAGCTCATGGTCATGAAAAATCCACATTGACTAAAAGTTGGTTCAATGACTTTCACTGCCTTCCTTGGTGGTCTTATTTTCTTTATTTGGGACTGATCGAAAAAAGGATCCAACCTCTGTCTCCACCTCCTCCACCTGCGTTTAAAACAATCAATTTGTAACTTTTTCAACTTGCATTAATATATATTGTGTCTAGTCTAATGAAAGCTACTAACTTTTGCAGATCAAATTCAAGGTTTAGACCCGATAAGAATTATTTTTTTTTTCCACCACGCATCTTCTCGGGAATAGATTAATTTTTATCGGGTCTAAACATAAGATCTCTCAGTTGAGAAATGAGATCTTGGTTGTCATCTACCCCTCAATTGTTCTAAGTACTATCTTTTAGAAGCAAATAAATTAGGAGTGCCAATTTTTGATACCACACAACAATAGAAGTCGAATCCAACATTAAATTAGAGGGTTTGAGTTGGTTATTATTCAACACGAACTTAAAGATGATATAATCTATTAGCACGGATAACAAAAGAGTTGTGTAATACCATCTCCGATGAAAACTTAAACCCTTACTCAAATTTCAGTAAAAAAAAATTGGGTAAAAAGTTTGATTTCGAATAAACCTCTCCAATGAAGAAACTTAAATTTAAAAGAAGGTCTCTCTTGATTTGAGTTTAAAAAAAGGTTTCACTTCATTTGGTATAAATATGAGTCTAGCATTGGAAAAATATTGTAGATTATTTTTATCCAAATTTAAATTTGCGTACAAAAATTGATAAAAGCTAGAAATGCTCTTATTATCAAATACCAATAGCAAAAAATTGGTATGATTAACATATTTAACTCATATTGTATAACTAAAATGCCAAATTCTTGTAATTTTTTTTTCGAAGTATAACCATACATCCTTCTAGTGTGAGGATTTTTTTACTTTTTTTTTTTAATTATTATATGGGTTTAATGAATTTTTAGTTTATGAAAAAAAAATGAGTGTCGACTTGTCGAGTTTGTCCGAGAGATAATAGAATCTTAATTTTACATTTTTTAATTTGAGTTTTGAATTTTTGATTCACGCCTCATACAAATCAACTTAAACACAATCCTATAATAATATCTCACAGGTTAGTGTCAAGACATTTGACATAATTGATTAAATGAGTTGATTAGTTAAAATTAATTAGTGTTCAATATGAAATTAATATTAATACTACCTAAACACGACTCGATTCAATTGTGACCTCTACATAAAATATATTATTCAACTATACAAATTGGCAATCTCAAGTACTTAAACAAGTAAAGGAGGCTAGAATAGAAGAGCAATGAACATAATGTGGTCTCCAGAGACAAATTAAAAGAGGAACAAAAGGCAAAAGTCCAACAGTTTATACCTTGTGAATTACGTCTTTAGCTATATGAGAATCCTTGGCAGTTTCTTTAGCGATATTTCCAAGAAGACTCACATCAGCTTTAATTCCACCCTCAGGAAGTTTCTCTACTACTTCCTTTGCGATCTTTTCCACTTCCTCGGCTCCCTTCTCCACCACCACGACAACTACTTCAGCAGTTTTAACAACCACATCCACCTTATCTACACATTGATAATACAAAATCTGTGAAAATCATTTAAAAATTTTATATTGGATGCAAAAACACTTAATAAAGAAAATTGACACTTTCTGTATATATTCCCGTGCATCATTTAAATCGGAATTTATTCAACCAAAACTATTGAAACTCATGACTTTGGGTTTTCATTAGAATATTGAACTTACTTTACACTAACAATCCTTGATTGAGACAATTGACTCTACGCATTTATTACACACATGGTTACACACACGCATATACATATACACATGTGAGTGTAATTACGCGTATCAATTAAATTGATGTTCTATACAACCAAAGCTACTGGAACTCTTGACTTTGTATTTTCATTAGAATATCGAACTTACGTTTATACTTACAATCCTTGGTCGAGAAAATTGACACTAGCCATTTAATAATGAAAAAATCGTGTGTATCGGGTAAACTAGAGTTTTATGCAACCAATTTTATTAGAATATTGGACTTGCTTTTTAGTGCTAGTAATGGAGACCTGTGCCTCCTGAACGGTGTGATTATCGACAATACCATTCCCAGTATCAAACTGCTCCTGTTATGTATTGCAAGAAATCTAAGTCCATTGGCTCAAAGGAAACAATAAAACACAGAAGAATTTGTATAGTCTTTCCTAGTAGCTACTCTGTCCAGATTTTTAGTTCAGAATAGTTACCAAGAATTTGAAGGGTTTCCAGATGGGAATGGAGCTCCAGGTTGACCACTGCGGACAACAAAGTTCCTATATTGAATCATCAAGGATAAAGTGAGTAAGAGGTCTAGAATTTAATTCTATGTTTAACATTAGATCCTATAGGTGAAGCACACAACAATAAATGGTCTGGTTTAAAAGTCTACGTTTATAGGTGAAGCCAATCGTAAAAACTTTACTATAATCGATGAAGTTTGGAAATGTTTTTCAAAATGAGGATAAGGGAATGACTTCTCCACTCTATCACGAAATTAGTTGACAAATATACTACCCAAAAGACTCAAGTGCTCCGTTTGGTAAGAATGATAAAAAGTAGAAAGGAAGAAAAGTAGAAGATATACATTTTTTATTCTTTAAGAATGGAAAGTAGGAAATATACGCTTTCCTTTCTTTGTATTTAGTTGGATGGATAGAAAATAAAAATAACTATTTTTTTTTTGTGCTTACTAAGATTAAGAGTGACAATCAAATTATGTCGTGTTAGATTCGTGTTGAGTTATTACGGGTTTGTGTCGAATATTAGTTAAATATAACTTAACTTATTTAACTAATTGTATCGTGTCGAGTTGCGAGTTAACCTATTTATTTTCGTATCGAGTTTAGGTTGTGTCATCGGGTTGAGTCGAAAATTTTTACCCTTAGTTAAGATGGAAAAATATTTTTTTTTAATTTAAAATTTTTATTTATTTTTTATTTTATTTAATTTTTTTTTAATATATATATTACTATTGTATTTTTATATGAAATTAATATATACATAATATATGTATATATAAAAAGATATATAAACAAATAAGATACATCTCAATACAAGTGATTAACTTTCTATCTACTTTCCTTCCGATTTTGGAGGGATTGATTTTGAAAATCGGAAGGAAAGTTAATCCATCCACTTTTCCATCATTCTTTATTAAACATGATATTTTATTTATTCTTCTCACTTTCAATCCTCTCACTTTTTCATCGTACCAACGGTGCATAGGTTTCTTTCGGATCAGATTTCCCAATTTTAGGATTATTGGTGTAGAACCAAGAAGACCCAAAAAGAAAACATATAGAACTACCTCTGGCCATTTTTATTGTTGGAGTTGATTCTGCCAGAAATTACTACGTGAATCGCAGTGAAACCTTGCCGATAATTGGATGATGATGTATTTAGCCTCCTCTTTAGGTTGAGAAATGAAGGTATTCGAGGAGTTTCTGGAAAATCCCTACTCGAGCTGTATCTATACGACATAATTCATATTGTGGCAGACATGGTTATCAGAAAACCTAGGTTTAAGCTCTCTAAGAACTATACCAAAGGTTCTGTGGAATTTCTGTTGTTTCTCTGAAGCAAGTTGAAGCTTGTAATGAGATTTTGATTCAAAGAGAGCTGTTTTGACCAAAAAAAACAAAAAAATAGAGAATATGATGATTTTATTACTTGCATGACCGGACTACGTCAACAAATGTCTAATAAGGAAATGCAAATGCTTAATGGATTAGTTTGCCGTCAGGCTTGAATTTTGATAGTAATTTGATCTAAATCTGCAATTTGATTGATGTTAGTGATCGTTGGATGAATTTATTTCAGACCGTTAAATGAACTTATTGAAATCTGTAATATTTTATATAATTGATAACTTTTAAAAATCTGATAATAATATAACAGGGTCATTGTAATTAGATCAGATTTTTGATTTTATATAATTTCTGGACTAATTTTCTGTATAAAATACCCCCTCAGAGTTGTTTGCAGATTTAATTTCATAGAACATATGGAAACGATATTTATATTTTGATTTTAAAGAATTTGAATTTAATTTATTGATCAGCATGGAATTCTAATCCATTTTAGAATCAAAGTACCGAATATTTTTCTCATTCGTACCTGGAGTTTTCACATAAATACATAGAGCTAGAATATATAAGTATTAGCCATAATTCTTGTTGGAAGTCACGATTCATTATAAAATCTAAGCTTCTAAAAAATTGATACTATTATATCAAAATAATAATTTTTTTCCTTCTTTTTTTCAAATTCTTTTATTTGAAATTAATTTTTACCAATTATTTAAATTTTTTTTTTTTTGCAAAACACAATCTAAAAAAATATCAGTATGTGTATATTATCGTAGATAAACAATGTCTGAAATAAAAATTGTATTGAGCTACAAATTAATAAAAAATAAATAATTCAAGTTGTGAAAAAAATGAGTGATGTAATAAAAGTAAGTAGAAAAAAATATGAGGATAATATTCAAACTCCCAACTCACTTGTTATATATATATATATATATATAGTAGTTATAACTCATATTTAAAAGTACGATACAACATAAAATTCGAGTATCTAAAAAATTGATACCACTATATGAACTAATAATTTTTCTTTCTTTCTTTTTTAAATTATATAATTTAAAATTAATTTCTACCTCATTATTTTTGAATTTTTTTTTCAAAACACATGACCTAAAAAAAATATTAATATATGTACATTATCATACATAAATAATGCCTAAAATAAAAATTATTTTGAGCCACAAATTAATAATAAATTAAATAAATCAACTTGTAAGGCTCCAACGGTAACATAATTTTAGCCGGTAAAGGAGAGGAGGCAGCTGCATCCAAGATAAGTAATTCTTTCCCGACTGAATACTACTCCCTGTATTGATCCTTCAGCGACTTTATAATCAGAGGGTCCGACTTTCTGTGCAGGTGCTCGTCAATAATTGCCAGGTCATCATCTCTCCCAAAGCTTTTTTTTGGGATCAACAAATGTAATAGGAGGAACTGCTCAATTAAAATTATGGGATTAATCTTAGAATTCACGATTAATCTAACATCTACAATGATTAAGTCCCTAGATTAAATGACCAAATTAAATCTATACACAATTGCTCATTGTCAAGGAAAATGCAACTTATACATAAAATATTAACTTGATTTGTTGATTTGATTAATCACAATTATTGAATAAGTAATATATCTCAATAAATATTAGAATTCACAATTAAATGAACAACAACGATCGATCAAATCACCATTTTAAACAAATGTACCATTACTCATATCAATACCTCGATAGACACATCCCGAATGCTTTGCGCATTTCTTTCCTGGTTATGTTATTTTTTATAACCCAAGCTCTTTTAACTACCAAATCCTTGTAGTTTTGAGACATGTCCTACAAGTTCTCTGCTATTCTGTAGGTTCCTGGTTTTCTTTTTTTTTTTAGGTTACCATCTGGTTTCCATTATTTTTTATTATGATTCTTTTCATAGCCGCCATGAGTCTGTCCTGTCCCTTCCCTATTTCTTTACATCTAATTCTATATTTCCCCGTTGCCCTATTAAACTATTATTATGAAAAGTGAAAAAGATAGTTGGCACCTTGAAAGATGTTCATTTTTTTTAATATACATATTAAACATTAAAATTCTCGTATTACACCATCAATTATATATAAAGACTAATTATTGTCTGTGTCTGAAGGCACAGAGTAATAAAAAATGGTAAACAATAAATATATTTATATTCATATCCAAAATTAAATAGCAAACATAGAGAAGAGATAAAAGAATTTAATTATCGATTTATAGTGGAGGTTAGAGATAATGGACAATATGAGTGGTGGTAGGAGACAGTAACAGTTGTGGTGGTGGTAGTGGGGCGATGCTGGTGGTGACGGTGGCGGTGGCGGTGGCGGTGGCAGCGATAATGGTGGTGGCGACGACGGTAGTGGTAGTGGCGATGGTGGTAGTTGTGGTGGAGGTGGTGGCGGCGATGGCGGTGGCGGTGGTGGTGGCGGTGGTGTGGGGGATTGTGGTGGTGGTAGAGGTAGTGATGGAGCGGTTCAAAACAATATTTTTTTTTAAAAGTACTTATGAAAAATAATTTCTAAAAACACTTTTAAAAATTACTCCAAACACACCTTTAGGGCCCTATTTTTTTCTATTAAATTTGGAGTTTTAATATTAGCCGTTAGATTAACTTTAAAGTAAAATTTAAAGCGATCTCAATCACGAATAGTAAAAGTCATTTTGTTTATCTTTTAAGATTTAAATTATAAGTTACTTTATTACATAAAGATAACAATATGCTCTATTTTACCAAAATTGAGCTCAAAATTTTCAGGTAAAATATTTAAAATTGAATATTATGTAAATAGTTATGGATAAAAATATTGCTACTATTTTTATTTTTTTAAGGTTGCAATGTGTGAATTTTATTTTTTCAAAGTATAAAATAAATATTGAATGATTTATTCAAGGTACAAAGTGTCAATTCTCCTAATTAAAATTTATTTTATTATTTTGTTGACCTACTTTTTGCATGCATCTTAACAAGTCGTCTTACCCTCCCATACACTCAAATCAAACATGACCAAACCGAAGGTAAGGAGTCCTTTTCTTTTTCGGTTTTTCTTCGTTAAAACCCAAGCATCTAAAATTTGTGGGGCTAAAATTCGCTTCATGCAATAATTAAATCTTTTTTTTGGTTGAATCTTCAAAATTTGTGTGAAGCATCATTCGTTCACATCCAACAAAACAATTCAAACTAGATCTCAATTCCGATCGTTCACATGTGTACGATATCTTGGTTTGACGAGATTTTCTCATTGCCATTTTTTTAGTATAAGATTTTGATCAAGGTGAGTTGATATCATAAATTTTATTTGACGGTGACTTTTTCTCACCAACCTATTTTAGTTGATTTTCCTCCCAAAGAGCTTACTTGATATGATTTCCTCTCAAAAGACTTTTGATGCTTTTAACATAAAGAGTTTCATTTCGGTGACTTTTACACATAAGAATTTAATCTTTGGTTGAAAGTTCCTTGTGTCACTTCAATTCCTATAGCCAATAGATATTCCCTTATGATGGGGCGGATTACAGCTCGAAGGATTCAGCAGTTCTGAAGCTCAAGATTAACCCGTGCAATAGCTTGAAGGTAGCTTAATACATTGGACTTTGCATTCCTACAGCTAGTGAATATTTCCCTCATAATGAGATGGATTGTTAAATCGAATGATTAGCAGTTCTAGAGCCCATCAGTCCCTACAATAGCTTGAAGGTAACTTACAATATTGGACTTCGCATTCTTACAGCCAATGGATATCCCCTCATAGAAGCCAGAAGGAAAAATTCTTTTATTGCTTTCTGTCACACCCTGACTGACTTGGGTGCATAATGATGGTCTTGGTGGCACCTTGCACCAAGACACACCATGAGAAGGATCAAGATGATGCGGCTAAGGATTCGATAGGTTGGTGCAGACCGTGGCAGCATGACATCACCCGACTGAGCATGACGGCATGTGGTGGGCTTAATTGAGGCAATGTGGGTGCATAACTTCGAATTGCATGGCATTGGCTGGACCCAACATGCACAATGATTTGTGAGGCAAGGTTGGCTGTTGAATATGGGCACATGACTGCTCAATGCATGTAACCAAGAGGATGTGGGCAGTTGTTGATGCATGACTCAGTCAAGGTAGTTGCTGAATAGAGCCTAGTCTGAAGGAGGCAGTTTTGGGCGTTCTTAGTCTTATTCTAGTCTAGGTGCATGTTGATCAGGGGTAGTTCAACATCAGTTATTGAATGGGTGAAACTGCCTGCCAGGCGTCGGACAGAGAAACAGTCTTGTTGACCAAGTCTAGTAAGGAATAGGTAGATTGTGTGTAACAGTCCCTTGGCAGATGAGGGTGTCATCTGACATGCTCCTTGTATAAATAGGGTGTTTGGGCATTCTGGTGAGATAGAAAGTGTCTTTGTATTGAGTTCCTTGTAAATTGTAGAGCACTTCAATATATAAGGTTTGAGAGTGTTGTCCCTGTAAATTCGTGTGTGCCTTTGTTTGAGTTTGTGTGTCCATAATCTTGAGTTTGTGTGGTTGGTTGCAGTGGCAACGCCCTCATAAGTAGCCTCAAAAGAAAAACGAGTTGTTACCTCGTGACAGTTTGGTATCATAACATTGATTTTGGTAGAAAGATCGACCTATGACTGGCGGAATGAATTCAGATTTGAGGGCAAGGGTGGCACGTTTGAAGGAGTTGGTTGGTCCTCCATAGTCTGGTGAAGCTGTGGCC